ATATATATATATATATAATATATATATATGTAGGTAGGTATAGACATACACATATATATGTATATGGTACACACACATACATGCATTCATACATACATACATACATACATACATACATACATACATAACTATATATATATAATATATATATATTATATATATATATATATATATATATATATATATATATATATATACACCTATCGCTTGACCCAAGAGCCCCTTAAAAGTTGCGGTTCGGCGGGGCACGTGTTCTAAAAGAGGAGGAGGAGAAGAGGGAGGGACGAGGGGGAGGAAGGGGGGGGGTGTCGGCGTCATCTCCCACCCACAGCGAATTTCCTTTTTCCTTTCCATGGTTTTCCCTCCATTTCTGTGCCCCCGTCGCGCGCGGGTGGTGGGTGGGTGCTCTCTTTCTCTGTCTGTCTCTCTCTCTCTCTCTCTCTCTCTCTCTCTCTCTCTCTCTCTCTCTCTCTCTCTCTCTCTCTCTCTCTCTCTCTCTCTCTCTCTCTCTCTCGTCTATTTCTACTGTCTCCTTATAGCCCCTTCCTTTTCCCTCTTACCAATTTCTCACTTTCCTTCACCTTCTTCTCTTCCTTCCATCATCACCCCTCACACCCTCAATCCCCCCCCTCGCATCCCCTATCCCCACTCTCCATACCCCACCCCCCAACGCCACCTATCCTCACCCCCCCCCTACACACACACACACACCATCCTACGTACCCCCTCCACCCCCCTCCTCCAAGAACCACCTCGCCCACCTCTTCCTCGAGCGGGAAAAGATCGCGTTTGGCGGGAAATGCATCCTCGAGGGGGCTGGGCGGCGGTGGCGGGGCTGGGGCGGCGGTGGTAGCGGTGGCGGCAGAACAGCGGCGGCGCATCATCTTTGGCGGCAGCGGCAGGGCACGCGTCCGCCCGCCGCTCCGGGGAAGAAGGGCACAAGGGGTGACGCCCGGTCGCCCCTCGCTTCTGTTTGGGGGGCGGGGAGGGGTGGTGGGAGGGAGGGGAGGGGGAGGGGGGGTACGGGGCTCTCTTTCGTCTTGGCTTTTTTGTATATATATATTTCTGTACTTCTTGTTTGTTTTTTTTAAGTTGTGTTATTTTTGGTGTATTGTTTTATATCTCGGTTTATTTCCATCTATTTCTAGATATTTATTTGTGTGCGGTGTATTTCTCTCTATTGCTCTTTTTATTTTTCTTATCATTTTACATATATTTGTATATGTACTTTATTTTCGCATTTCGATACTTATATTAATATATTTCTCCATTTAATATTTTCATTTTTATTTCTCATTCGCTTGTTGATTTGTATTTATTCATTTATTTCCCTTTTCTTCCCAGTTTATTTCTTATATCACATTCATGACCTTTCTCGGACGTTTTTGTCCTGTTCTTGTTATTTGGTTATCATCTTGTTTTCTCTCTCTCTCCTCTCTCTCTCTCTCTCTCTCTCTCTCTCTCTCTCTCTCTCTCTCTCTCTCTCTCTCTCTCTCTCTCTCTCTCTCTATCTATCTATCTCTGTATGTATGTATGTATATGTTTATGCATATACATACATATATATTATATGTGTGTGTGTGTGTGTGTGTGTGTGTGTGTGTGTTGTATGTATGTATGTATGCTTGTATGTATGTATGTATGTATGTATGTATGTATGCTTGTATGTATGTATGTGTGTGTGTGTTTGTATGTACATTTGCATGTGTATGCATGTATGTATACACATATATGCGTGTGTGTAAACTTTTGGAACTGTGCCTGTGGGCGTGGGTGTTTGTGTGTAAATGAAGTACGTACGAGTATCTGTGCGTTTATATTAATTTATGTGTGTATATGGTATGTGTATGTGTGTATTTTACCTG